TGGGACACCTAAGGCCTTTTTTCGGAATTCGAGGGGGCTAAGGCAGGGAGACTCAATGCCCTGGTGATAGGAGCTGAAGTTGTCTGTTGTATGTTCGAAGGTTTTTGCTGCCGGTCCATTAATAGGTATCAGTGTATTAGGTCCATATGTCCAACTTGCAGTATGGCAAAAACAGTCATATTTACACTATGATATCACATTTAAGCAACCCTTCACTATTGTGCGCTGCTTTTAGGGAGCATCAGGAATTAAAGTTAACACGATAAAGACAAAGTCAATTGATGAATTAGTTCCAGATCACCAGCTCGCAGGTCTATCAAAATTTGTCGGCTGTGGGGGTGGACAACTTAACTAAACAAGTATGCTTGAATGCCATGATGCTTGGAGAAACAACTAAAGGGAAGCTGGGATGCAGTACTGGAACGAAAAAAAAAAATTGCATCAATTGAAGGCAAAGTAGTTATCATTAGGTGGGAGATTCGTACTCATAGAGTCCATACTGTCAAACTTGCCAGTTTATTGTAGGTTCCTTCTCTCAATCCCAACATTAGTGGCATACGAGATAAAGTGGTTTATGAGAAGGTTCTTGTGGGGGAATTTCTCAGAGAAGAAAAGCGTTAATTTTGTAAGATAGGTATCTGAAAGCCAATAGAAGGAGGGAAGGTTTAGGAATATGGATGATTAGGATAATGGATCAGGCATTGTCAGTAGTGGCAGAATGCTAATGATATACAGCTCAGGATGACTACCTGTAGAAACCAGTTGTATCCAGCAAATATTTGGTCAAAAAAAGTGAAAGATTTATCAAAGCTCATAGGACCAAAGGAAGACTTCTAGGTGTTCAGAACAGGATAAATAAATGTCTTTCCAGCTACATAAGCAGATTTGTTTTTGAGAAATGTTAACTTTCCAGCTACATAAGCAGATTGAGAATGGAAAATTGGTCTTGGGAAGAAAACTCTCTTTTTGAAGAAGGTTTAGCCCCAATACATTACAGTAAGAGTTTCCAATGCTATTCAGAGTGGCTTTGAAGCCTGATATCAAAGTGAAAGAGATTGTAGAAGGGCGGGGACTTAAAGCTACCTGGATCCCTTGCTTCACGAGGGCACTGAAAGATGACAAAATAGAAGCCTTTCAAAAAATAAAAAATGGGTTGTACCAATTTTTCTGGGCAAAAAATAGGATGAACAAATTTAGAGCCCAGATAGTAAAGGGGTTCTTTTATTGAGGTCAATGGGTAGATCACTGACATGGGGCACAAAGGAGAACTCTGTTGCATCCAGAGTGTGGTCCATTCCAAACCCCCCAAGAAACACAGGCCTTTGGTTAGCTGGTGATGTTGGATAAAGTTTTGACAGTTGATATCTCAGCAAGAAATCCATGTCAGTGCCAAAAATATGCATATTATGCAAAGAGTCAGAGGAATAAGAAAATCATCTCATACTAAACGGTTCCTTCACAAAAGTGTTTGGTCCTTAGCTTCAAGCTTATTTGATTCAAATGGGTATTAGCGGAGGATTAACAGTGTTGGCCATTTTGTGGCTTATATAGCTCGAAAGAAACAGCATATGCTTTAAGAAAAAGGGAAGAGAGATATAAAATATGAAGGCCACATTAGGATCACTATTGTATTACAGGGAAGGAGATTAGTAGAACGAAGCTGTAAAAAGATCTTGCAATCTAACAACTGGTGTCCTCCCCGAGGGTAGCCTGAAATTAAACTTCAATGGTAGTTCACAAGGGAGCCATGGGCCCGCTGGATTTGGTAACCTTCCAGATGACCACCAAGGAAAGATTTTAATGACCTACTCTGGATCACGTCATGCCCGCAGTTCAAATGACACGGAGATCTGGGCACTGCTCACTAGACTAAGGTTGTTCGAGATGAGAAATGAAGCAATACGCATACAGGAGGAGGACTCCAATGCTATTGCATAGGAGAAATGGCAGGTGGGGGCTGCCCCTGATAGTTCAAGCTATGTTTCAAGGACATAGATTCAAGAATCTGCATCTCACTCAGATTCCAATAATCCGACACAACTGCATATATTGTGCCAAGTCTAGTACGACATGTCCGTACAATGTGTATGTGAATGTATGTGCGCGTGCGCACGTGTGTGTTATTTAATTAATCTGTGATCATAGTTGTTGGAAACACCTGAGATTCTGAATCATTTTAGGAATCCGAATCACAGAATCGTGGCTAGCTAAAAGATTTTTGTCCTCGGAATCGATGTCTGAACAAGGAGAATTATAAGAAACGGGATTCCTACTTTATAGGAATCGAGGTTCGACCCAAATGGAATCGAGATCCTTGCACATATGAAATAAAGATTTATTCATATATGAAATCGAGATTCTAACATCTTTGGAATAAAGTTTTTGACGTATTTAGAATCAAGAGTCACACCAACTTGCAATTGAGATTCATGTCAGTTTAAATTGAGTTTCGAACCACACAATAACCAAGATTTGTAACTATATGGGGGTCGAGTTTCAACCCTTTTAGAATCAAGTTTCCTATATCAACGACATCTCGCACGTTAACAACTTACAACCTCATCAAGCAATCAAGATCAGAGGTCCCTAAGACATGAAAAAGAGTTTCGTAGATAGGAAGTCAATGTATTCACTATTGAGCCTTAGAGACAGTATCAAGAGTACGTTCAATTAATAAATACTCATATTCCATTAGGAAATTTTCTATAAACTATACAAATAATATCTCAAGTATTTTTGAAACGTGATAATGATTTCATTATTGTTCAAAATAGGACTTTGTTTGTGCCCTAGGGTTGTCAGTGTTGTAATCTGATTTGAACGTAAAACTCTTTACCAATTAAATTTTAAAAAACTTGCAGTAGAAATGTGATCCGAGCTAGTTTCAATAATGCGTTCATCAGATTATTATTCGGAGCACATACGAAATATGGGAGAAATCATCTCCAATCCAGTTTCCAAATAACTTAACTCGAAATCCCTAAATATTTGAACCAATCCATAACTCATAGACTTACACATTAGAAAATTAATGTTTGATTTTGTGATATTACAGTTGCAATAGACATATGTGCATATATATATATATATATATATATATATATATAGTACGGTAACCCTACTAAA